GTTTTGAACCCTTAGCTTCAAGGCTTTTTTCCACTCTTATTTTCTTGTCCTTCAATCGGTGTTAACCCTGTTGGACATCTGCCAGCAGGAGGTCGTCTGTGGAGGGTTAAAGAGGGGAGGACGTGTGTACATATGGGGTCATGAGGTTAACTACAGTGTTTAAAAGGAGCCTGGTTAACAAGACGAGGACCACCAGTGATCAACTGGAGCTGCAGCACATCATCCAGTCTGACAGGAAGTCAACGGGAGGAAGATCAAAGCAGCTTTATTCACAAAGAGCTTTTTGCAAATCAACAACAGAGGAACGAGGACAAAGGCAACACGAATTCTGAAGAAGTGCTGACACGGAGGATAGGAAAGTTTAAAACTCAGGAGGCATGCAGCTAGCTGAAATTTGATTGGACCGCTAAAAGCTGAAAATTATGAGATAAAGGCGACTTGGGATTCATCCAATACACCCACTGCTGGATCTGTGCTAAAATTAAAGATCTGACAAATACTCTTTTGATTACATACACATCCCATGGCTCCGTCTCAAAGGTTCAATTATGATTGAGTTCAAATCTCATCCCTTTAGTAGCACTGAAGTGAATTACACCTCACTGTGGTGGATATTTGCTTGACCCAGCGGGGGGAACCTGAGTATAATGAAAGGGTGGGCGGCACCTTCTGAAACTGATAATGTTAGATGACTCAGGTCAGGTGCGACTTGATTGTCTGTTTTTGTACTAATATGATATTGTATGCAGTGCCATTTTAAAATGCTCTGTTATGTCACATCCTGCTCCACTTGGCTTGTCTTTTGAGCTCAGCAGCCAGTATTTCATCAGAAAACAAACACTTCCACTCTGATTGTTCTGTGTACGCGTTAGATTCATTGTGGGTTTTTGTTTTTGGATGGAATGACCGTACGGGGCCATCATTTATTCCTCTTGCTAACATTTTCATTGGCAGCAACACAATACAAAATCCTCCGTACCACTCAAGGACATGTTTACACTTGGAGTTATTTGTCCCAGCGCTGAGGGACTCAAGGCAAGGCAAGTTTATTTATATAGCACCTTTCAACACAAGGCAATTCAAAGTGCTTTACAAAAAATGAAAGACATTAAGAAAATGGCATTTAAAATCAGTCATTAAAAAGAAAAGCTAATAAAAATAAACATTAAAAGGAAAAATACATGGATAAAAGTTACAGTGCAGTTTAAGATGTGAATAGTTCAATTAAAAGCAGCAGCATAAAGTAAAGTCTTTAGTCTGGATTCCCCCCCCTAATGTTCAGAACTAGTTGATATAATAGAGAAAGGAAATACTTTACATCTAACTCTGAACCTGCCATGACCTACCTCATTCACACCAACGGTGTTTCAGGGCCGGTTCGGAGCTGGAGCTTGAAAAGCACCGGGTTTTCCTCTTCACACCGCAGCGGAGCAGCCTCTTAGCTCCGCAATCCGGTTCATTTCGAGCATTTATTTTGAACGTCACGCTTATATGTCGAGGCGGGGGCAGAGACAGGATCAACTCCTGAACAACAACAAAAAGCCCGCGTTTTATCCAGTTTGTTCACAACGATGGAGAAACTTAACAAGAGTTTCAGAGTTTCTGCCATAGACTGTATATATAAAGGTTTCTACTCATGGTGAAGCAACGTGTCTGCGTGTGTAGGTGGAACCTGAGCATTCATGTTGATCACCTCTTATAACTCATTATAAATCTATAAATATTAAACTTTACTTCAAGTGTTCATTTGAGAACAGCTGTTACATACCTGGGTGAAGGTTACAGTTCATTTAAATGAAAGATACAACGTTACTCCACACTCATGGTTCAGTCCACCTTAAGAAATAAGACCGACATCGGAAGCAGCTGTGTTTTAAAAAAACCTTTATTGACACGAGTACACTTTTTTATAAGAATATAGTCTAAACCACAGAAATGACTCCGGAAAAGCTGCAGATAGAGCCATAAGAAATGAATGCAACTGATTTCATCCGTGCGGTTTGGCTTTATGAAGCAGGCAGGCAAACGGTTACGTCATGACGCAAACGATGACGCAATAACGCAGCACCAGTCGGACTCTGGGCGGTGTGAAAAGAGCCGGAGCTAAACCGAAGAAACGGTTCTGAACCTGAAAAGCTCTAGCACGGAGCTTGAACCGGAGTTGCGTTGGTGTGAATGAGGTAAGAGGCCGACACATTGTTTGGTAGAGTGCAGGTCACAGTCATATCTCAGCCAGTAGCCTTGGCTCAGGACTGATTTAATGTCTGAGGTTGTTTCGGGTCACACAGAGTTCAGGTCATGCAAAGGAGGAAGACTCGTATATCTTATCCACTGAATCTCAGCTGTCCGGCGATGATAACACAGCTCGTTGTGGTTTTGAGAAATGTGGCTGAAGCTCATGATGGAACTGAAGACAGACATTCGAAGAGATTTGAACACATTCTCTGTTCATTTGGATCTCTTTTAGATAAAAATGCTAGTCCCCAAAGAGTCCATATTATAAAATATACTATGCTTATATTCTATATAAATGCAATATTTTTTAAATGAATAGTTTGAAATATGCTTTTTCGCCCACCATGTGGTATCTTGGTGAGGACCATTTGGGAAGATACTCGCCCATGTAAAATGAGAAAATGTCTTTATATTTGGGTTTTTGTACGCATTAAACAAACAACGTGTTAATTAGTGAGATTTGAATGTGCTTGTAGGCAGATTTTGGAACTAATGCAAGACTCATCGTGTTGTGAGCACTGCCAATTCTACGCTTTTCTAAGTGGCAAAAATGTATTTGTTTGTGTTCCTGGAGGCTTTGACAAATAACATGCTCCCATAACATACATGTTGTACAAAAGTCATTGATTTTGAAAGCAGTTTATTTTTAGTTCAAATTTGAATGCTTGCAATACTTGGACATAGTTTCCCGCCTTAACTTTTGAGGACGATAAGTCTTGTCCAAAACATTAAAAAGACATCAACAGCTTATTTTGGACCTTCAGTCTGGTCACCAGAGGGGGTGTTACGTCATCTGAAAGCCCTTTAATCCAACTGGGATGCACATCTTGTGGGCCAAGATAAGGAATGACCACTGATAACTGCAACTGTTGCTGTAACGCATGTCTACAATTCTCTCTGTGCATACCGTAGTCTGCTTCAAATGGAAAATGAATCATATCACCTTAATTGGAGGAAGGTGAAAGAAAGAGCCATGACCTTCTTGGGAAAACTTTGAGAGTATCATTCATTTTTGTTATCCAGTGAAGTGTGTTGGTATGTGTACTTTTAGTTTTAATTTGTACTCATCGAGTTTAAACAGTGTGCTCTAATGGAACAAATATCTGGCTCACCACTGCATGACAGAGGTGCGGGCTGAAGGATCGTTATGTAAGGCGGTTAATTTCGGTCCCCAGAGGGATTATTAACCGCCGACTATAATGCAGATAATTTATTCCGAATCCAACCTCTGCCAAAACTGGATTCTCTTGCACTGAACATAGCTGGAAAATGTAGAATGCCATTATTAGTTGTAGCATTTAGAAAAGAGTTGCATTCCAAATGGCAATACAAATGAAAGTCTGTGTGTGTCATTTGGGGAGACTTACATAACCAGAGCTGATGTTCTGCTTCTCATGCTCTGCGTACAGGGCAGTACAGATTCAGCTGGGATTACATGTGTCATGTTTATTTTTCCCTCTCTTGCTTCCTATGAAAGGGCTCATTATTTATCTCAGCTAAAGAAACCGAGTGATGCAAGATCACTGGTTTAAGTGGAGGAAGAAATACTATCAAAGGCTGAGTGGGCTGCAGAAGAGAAAGAGAAGTATTTTTACACAAATTCAAATTCTTATATGTGTCATAACATTTTACAACATCACTTTGTCTAAGTATTCCAGACAGTGTATCACATAGACCTTTTTTATCATAGCTGTTAAGCCACGTTTAAGTAAGCTGTTAAATTGTAAGTGCCAAGCTCAAGTTAAAATGTGTTTAAACTTTGGTTAAAGTCGAAGCGTATCAAACAAAATGTCCACAACTCCAATAAAAAACATTTTATAGTTATTTCTATTTAGAAAACAATTATTTATTGTAATTAAACTGATATCTTGGGCTTCAGGTATATGTATTTACATGCAAGAACAAGAACCAATGCTGGCATACAATCTGGACAAACTTCCCAAACACTGCAGGTTCTTTGTGGAACTATTGCTTTTTTGTCATTTGATACATTTTTAATCGGTATAGGCAATCTGAATTAAAATCCAACATTGTGTTCACATGCAGTCACTACTAAAACCATGGGACCACCATGGTGTCATTTTGCGATGCTTTTTGGGTGTACAGTTAAGCTGCGATGTGGCACTGAAATGTATAGGTGACATTTACAGTGCTCAGAAAGTCGTGGTTAGGATGTTCCAACATTTTACAGACTAGTTTGAATGGTAACAACCATAATGAAATTAATGCACACTGTAGTCACTCTAAAGTATTTGGTAAAATGTAGAAATTATTATTATTATTTTATTTGTATATATGGATATCACTCCACGTCTTGCAGTTGTACTCCTGCTTTCTCCACATGGCAGTGAAACAGTTTTATTTACATGATGTAATCAGGGAAATTAATGTAATTTCCTTTTTTTTTAATGAAATATACCCAGTGGTAAACTCTTTCAGGGAACATTGGGAACTACAACGCCCCCTTCAGAGACTCAGAGCCCATGTTCAGACCACCAGACATGTCCTCAATGTTTGTCTTTATTTTTGGACCTTCTAAAATCCAAAAACATGCATTCTCCTGCTTCATGACCCATTTCTGACTTCATGTGTAAACAAACACACCTGGAGTCGAACCCGCTGGCTCGAGCCCAGGCGGGAATGCTCGCGCGTTTGGCTCAGTTTCACAAGCTCAACAAGGGTGGACTGTACCAATGTGACTCCTAGATGGAGGGGGGAGCCAGACAGATAAACACGCAATTATCTCCCGATATTTGACATGCATTTAGTCGGGTCCAAACCGGAGCTGCCACAAGATTAACAAATACTGCTCTTCACTTATTTTGAATCAAATAACACATTTATATCGTAGGTGTTTTTTGTTTTATTTCAGGACAACTTTTCCCAACACCCCTAAAACACCGCTACATCTTGCCTTTTGATTGACCGCTGCATATATTGTTTTTCTGTGTGCTGAATTTTCCTCCTGCTGGAAAAGGATAAAAAAAAAAAAACAACACAGGGGAAACTGAGGAACAAGGCACAGTGGAGAATACAGGAGGTTGAAGGAAAAAGTGAAATAACAAGAGACTAGCGGGGAAATTGGAGGAACAGGTTGGGAAGAGAGCAAGAAGACAAGTGGAGAACCAGACTTAAGAAATCCTTGCTTTTGTGTGGAGATTTTTTTGTTTCCTATCTGCTGATTAAAGGTGAGTTTAACCCGTTGCTGTTTTTTCTAGTAGGATTATAAAAAAATGTTTTAGTTTAAGTCAGGGAGTAGCCTGTGCAGTCGTGCAACAAGGGACAGGCACAAATGTTTATTGTGCAGGGATGCAACGTGGAACCATCTGTTTAATAATGCATTATGCACACCCAATGTATCCCCCTCCCCTAGGTTTTCCCCCTTTATTGAATAAAAAAAACACGCTGATATCGACCAGAAAAACAGCCAACTCTGCAAGACATTAATATTTAAATGTGTTTACAAGCGCCAATTCAAAGAAGGACTATTTAAATGGCATTTTGCATGCATGGGATCCTTATAATAGTGCATGTGTGATTGGGAGAGTGCGTGTTATTGAGACGCACATGTGGCACAGCCGTCAGTTCTTTGTTCCTCTCCCCACCTCCCCCCGCCCCCCCCTATAATAACGGAGCCAGGCATGACATCTCAATGGCATGCATGCAGAATTTGGGGCAATATTGACATACTGGCGCATTAACCCCTCTATACATCCCAGTCTTGCATTTTACCCACCAGCATCACCAGCATTGCTCTTCTTTTCTGGTGTTTGTGGTATTTCATGGTTAAATACATATTGTTATTGCGAAAGAAAAGGTTGCCTTTGTCTCTTTTTCAAGAGAAAGAGGGGGTCAGAATAGGGCTGTCTGAGGGGGGTCGAAAGCGGTGTTGTGGCTCTTGGCATGCCAGAGGAGGGGATATAAAATATGTCAATGTCAAATGGAGGTGTGTCTCTGTGTGCGTTCATTGGGTCTGTGGTGCCTTGGTTTCTTATTTTTATATTTTTTAAACTGGGGAAAAATTAAATAAAAAATCATGCAAGTCCTCAAATGATCCGTTTCGGAAGACTCCCTTATGGAATATATTAAAGCCTGTTTTTCTTCAGTGATTCGTTCCAGACCAAGGACACACACACACACACACACACACACACACACACACACACACACACACACACACGACACGACGACGACGACCGACCGACCGACCGACCGACCGACCGA